GATTACAATATTACGATGCCTCTAAGGTATTATTATTGGATAGGAAAATATTTTGATCACCTTATATCAGATATAATGCTTAAGGTTATGCATGCTGACCGGCCACAATTAAAGTCTCTGATCTAAGATATCTAACTCGCTGGTCAAAATTTTCAATAAAAGAAGGCCTAATATTTAATATGTTTTAAGAAAATTCATCAGATCAGCTACGAATTTAAAAGCTGAAATTAAAAATTTCAAAGTTAAATACAAAATCAACCAAGGCTTGATTGCAGTAAACACACAATCGAAAAATATTTTCTCAACGAAAGAAACCCAATGACATTAAAGAAGTCATATGAGTCTAAGGTTTTGTTTGGGACGTCTTTCTTACTGCTTCTTAAAGCATCTTTTTAGTACACAAACGAAATAAACTCTTACTTTCAACAAAAACGAGATATATAACATTAGAGAGATTAGAAATCTAAAGATTTAAAGATTAACACTAATGATCACCGCTAACAACTGTTGAAAAGATTATTGAATGCGGTGTCTGGACGGATCTGGAGGCCAATCCGGACACGCTATGTTACTAAATATGCAGTGCATTGATGTGGCGCATCAAAATTGACCTCCAAACATATTCGAACTCCACACAGAATAATCAAACAACCGTCGTGACATAACAACCGTTGCTTGATCATCATAATTTGTCATCACCTTATAGATCTATTTTGATCATTATTACTTGCCTATTGTTGCTCGGCCCTTCTAATCACCATGACTTGATCGTTGCCGCCACTTTTGAATGCTTCTCTCCAAATATTCTCCATTACATTCGCAGGAGGCCTATAAATTTTTTTCATTGTTGATTTTTCACAAAGCTGGCAGAGAGTACACTGTAATGGTTTGTGAGTCTCAAGAGGACACACTGCTCAAAATCATAGCTGCATGAACCTACTCATCATAAGCACAGCAGGTCATTATCATCCTCTTAATAAAGTTTCAATGATTTTATTTTATCAGCTTGACTTTATTGATAATCTTATCTCAATAAAGTTGTAATGATTTTGTTTTCTTTCTTTCTTTATTAATATTGGGTATGGAGCATAACTAGCCATATATGCAGAATGGCAGTCATTCATTCAACACTTTTTTGACTGTTTTTGATAAGGAAACCCTAAATCTTCCATCAATGCTCCACTATGAGCTTCATTCACTGTAATTTTTGTATAATCATCTGTCAAAAGGTTAGATATTTGAAATTAAATTGACCTTCCATTAAATCGACTGCTTATGCCAATTTTTTTGAATTTATTTTGATTTCAAGAATACAACAACAAGAGCTACTTTCATGAGAAAGAACTCTAAAGTAATGTGTACCAATCTTTTTATAATAACTTTAAGGAATGTCTTGAAGAGAAATAGTTTGGATATAAAAATTAAGATTTAGACGTAAAAGAATAAATTTTTTGTACAAAATATAATTTTGAAACTCCATTCCCTTCAAAATCATAGAAAATTATGATTTGCCTTCTTAAGTTCCATCTTTATTTTTTATTTTTCATTTAATTATTATATGTAAAACATCTCTATGAGGTCAGTTTAGCTTGACCTTATTATCAACAGCCAGGTAGAAAAATGAAGAGAAATTGCATTAAGTTTTTAAGAAGGTTAAAAAGACATATAAGTTACAATCTTCCTAATTAACAAAGTTGCTAGAGAATGGCCATGTATGTTCTTCAATTATTTTAGCAAGACTTTTGGATTTGTTTGGGACGGCTGTAGTGTTTTAGAAAGTTGGTTATGAAATTGCTTTGGAGAAAGCAACTTAGCTACTATGGTTGCAAAATATAGCTTTCCACCATAAAAATTTTTAAAGAACGGTGAGAAAGCAGTAAGAAAACAGTAGCCAAATGTAATTATGGTGGCTATATGAAAAGCAATGAAATAAAAAAGCTCTCCAAAACGAACACATTTTTTATTATTCATTTTATGTGAATTTTTTGTTGGAATATGTTCACAAATATCAAATAAGCGAAAGGTTTGAGTACTTTAAAATCATAGTTCTTATTTTCCATTTGCTCTATTGTCTTATTTCCACATTGGATAATATAGAATGAAGTTCAATATTCTTCAAAACTATGATTTCTCTTATACTCATTTACATTCTTATTCTAGTCTAAAAAAACAATTGTAAATTGTGCTTAGTGTCAAAACTATTGGGAAAGTTATTTATATTATTCAACTTATGGGGGTTATCATCAAATATAAGTACTTTATAGTAACATTCAACATATTCTCCAATTTTTTTGTTTATATTTTATAGACATACGTTTGTTTTTATGATATTAAAAGTTTGTCTTGAATAACTTTATCACGGTTTTATATTTCACATATCAATCACAATTTAGTTTAATAACCACCATCTTGTTGCTTTCTTTCTGTTTCTTATAAAATTGTGATGAAAAGTTATTTTTTCGCAACCAAAGTAGCTAAGTCACTTTCCCATAGTAATTTCACAATATACTTTAGAAAACACTGTAATCATCCCAAACTTACCCTAAATCACATGTAACATCTTAATTCTTCATAATAATATAGCATGTTCGATAAAGAGATTCAAAATACTTTGACCTAATGAGGTTCACAAATACTTCACATATGAAGAAGATAACATCAAGGTTGAATTGCTCATTTCAAAATAATGCATATAACCATGTACTCAACCCATAAAAGAGGTTCTTTTCTAATAAAAAAATATATTATACCTTATTAAGTTACTTTCAATTAGAATTATTAAATAGTTATGCATAATTATATTAGAGATGACATGTAATCTTAAAATTAATCAAATGACTTTTTATTATTATTTGTAATTATATATGACATTATTTGTTAACAAAATGAATTCTAACATAAGCATAATTAATTAGTATTTTTGATACTAAGCATATTTCTATAAATGCAGTTAGAAAAATATTATTTTTCAAGATTATAAATTTGAATTACATATTTTATAATTTTTCAATCACCTATATTAATTAAAAAAATATAGTATTTGATCAATTAATGCAAATGAATGCATACATTTACAATATGCATTCAAGGTTCAACTAGTTAATCAACTAATTGATAATGAAAAGTGTACCAAAAGTATTTTACTAATAAAAAAATCTTTATTTTTAAAATTTTCAAATAACTTAATATAAAAGGTGATGAAGTACGCATTATTGATTTGAATTTACATATGAATAACAACCGACTATACTGGCAAGTAATCTTCTAGACAAAAATTAAAAAACGAAGACATTTGATCAAGTAGAGAGAGAGCGAGAGAGATGAAAGCTCAAAGTATGTCAGAAATCAAGAAAATATCAAAAAGATTAAAAAAACTCTCTTTTCCATTTTTTTTATAAAACTTAGAGGACTATTAGAAAAGCGACTAAAAAAAATAAAACAAAACAAAAATCTCTTGCTCAATATTACTCATCACGGGCTGTATTTGACATGCGGCTTACTACTAGGAATCACATAACTAGTAGGAATCACATAACTCATTGTTCCTTACATGACCCTCTATTACAAGTCAACTCTCATGGGTGAATGCTTGTGACCACAAAGGGATAGTTCTCAAGATATGGTGTGTGAGACGAGTTGAGTGCTTTGACTGTGACAACGAGTTGAAGCACAACTTGTATGCCTCTAAACGTTAAGGAGTCCTTGAGGATAATGATGGCCGCAAATTGAGGATTGAACAAGTCTTGAGGATAATATCAAACTTCTAAGTTGTGCACTTCCTGCAGCTAGATCGAGGAACATCAATGCGTGTTTGACAGTATGAATGATGGCTAGTGGTCTCGAGAGATCAATTTTTATCGATGTAAGTGATTCTTGCGGGCTTGGATGAATATGCACGAATTTCTTGATGCACACATAACTCCCTGATTCAGTTACACATACTTGAGACAACTCCTTAGTTTGGAGACAGGAGAAATTATTCTGTGCGGACATCGAATCGACCGAAGGCGAATCATAAAACGTCACGTCTCTCGGTACAAAACGGTACATATAAAAAATAATTTGACACATTTACCTTGATTCTATGGATTAAGTTGGTTACATTTTTTTTTTTGCTAGTATCTTAATGCATGACATGACTATTTTGAGTAAGATTTCTACCCGAAATATGTTTGGTGCCTGTAAAATATCTGAACAAACCTATACCGATATAGGCACACAAATCTTCATTCAAACGCCAAAATATTTATTAAATGCGACCGTTAAGTGGAGCTTTCCGCTTCATTTTAAGGAAAGTCTCTTTATCCACTGTAATGTAGAAAATAAAAATAAATTTTCGTTAAACAATTCTTAGATTTTTTCTCATTTACTGCTGCTCATTTTTAGCAAGTACTGTAATTATTTCACGGCCTATCACTTGAATTTCCACAGCCACACCCAAGTTCACCTCCACTACGTGGCACCTTTCTAGCCATGAATAAGCGGGTGTTATTTGGGTGTATTGGTGAAGTCTGGAAAATGTCGAGTATCCATTTCACCGCGTATAACCCCGTATGAGAAGTCTCATGCATGTGGTTTTCTCTACACCGCCGGTACAGTTTAAATCGCACATGACGTTGGTCCCCATATTTCTAACAGGCTTTAGGTTGAAAATTGAGAAATTTACATCATTATTTTTTTTAAATGTGAATTTGAATTAGTTTAAAATTATTAGGGGGATAAATATAAAAGTTAAAGAGAAAAAAATTTTAATTAAAAATATTTGGATTTTAAAAGTAGAAGATATATGCTATTTTTTGTTTTAGAATAACGGTCCGATTAAGTTTTATCTTAAGTAAAAAAGTATTCCGCGGAGCAGATAATCCGTAATCGTAGGTAAAAGATTTTGGCACGTGCGATGCTCACACTGTGCACGTGTCCCCCACTTAAATTTCCATCTCCCGAGTAGCAACAGAAAGAAACAGCGAGTTGAGGTAGACGAGAGGTGCGCAGAGAGAGAGAGAGAGAGAGAGAGAGAAAGAGAGAGAGAGAGAGAGAGCGGGAGCGGGGGGGTTAGGGAAGTAGGAGAAAGCATTGCCGGAGCATCGCATCGCCGCAGGTGGAAAGGATAATGGGAGAGGTCTCATTCTTCTTTGGCGTCATCCCTTTCCATATTCAACTTCTCATATATAAATATAAAGTTCTGTTTTTTTATCGCTTTTCTTCTTGGTTTTGGGCAGGAGGGGAAAAAGCCAGAGGAGAAGAAGGCTGAAGAAAAGAAAGCTGAAACCAAGGCGGAAGGGGAAAAAAATAAGGCAGAAGAAGGGAGGAAAGAGGGTGGAAGTGGTGGTGTCGAACAAGGCGGCGGGGACGGGGGAAAGAAGGAAGGCGGTGAGGACGGAAAGGCAGAGTCAGCGCCGGCGCCTCCACCACCTCCGGAGGAGATTTTAATGAGGGTCTACATGCATTGCGAAGGCTGTGCCCGCAAAGTTAAGCGGAGTCTTAAGGGTTTCGATGGTATCTTTAGCATTGATTTTTACAGTCTTCTGCTTTCTCTTTTTTGACAAATCTCTGTTCTCTGTTTTTTTTTCTTCAAAGGTATTTTTATTTTATTTTTTTACTTTTTGTAATTTTGGTTAGGAGTGGAAGAAGTGACGACGGACTGTAAAACGCATAAGGTGGTGGTTAAGGGGAAGAAGGCGGCGGAGGATCCTTTGAAGGTGGTGGAGAGAGTGCAGAAGAAGAGCGGTCGTAAGGTGGAGCTCCTAACTCCCCTGCCTCCACCGAAGCCGGAAAAGAATGAAGAAGAGAAAAAGGAAGAGAAACCCAAACCGGAGGAGAAGAAGGAGGTTGCTTTGCTCTTTATCCTAACATTTCTAGAATACATATCACTCTTTGACTAAAATTTGTATTTTTACTGTTCTTGTGGTTTGCTTTCGTGTTTTTCAGCCGCCGGTTATCTCTGTCGTGCTTAAAGTCCACATGCATTGTGAAGCCTGCGCGCAGGAGATCAAAAAGAGGATTCTTAAGATGAAAGGTTTGACTTTTAACTCTCTTTCATCTCTTTCTTTCCATAACCTGTAATGTAGCTGGCAATCTTTAAATTTACTCCAGTCGTCTTTTCTTTTGGTTTTGGGATCTATTGGAGATTCTAATGCAGATCCTTATTAATAACTTTATTAGAAAGAGAAACTAGAACTACTCTTAGTTGAAACATCCTTTTCTTTCATTTAAATCTTCTTAGTGCTTCAGAACCCAACAAAGTTCAGATCTTGGACGTTCCAATCCTTAAGTTCGCCCCCTTCCTCTTTTACCCTCTGTTCTTATTCTGCATATCTCGATGATATGATACAATTTTCACATTATACAAAGGATAAAAATATGATTTTTGGTATTTTGTAAAAGAATTCCTATAGCTTTCCCTCTTTAAGGAATGTTAAGAATATATTTCATTTATTTCACAATTTTTATTTCATTTAACTCTTATTATTGATTATTAAATAATCCTAATCATTTTTTTTTCTTCCTGGTTACAAACCAGGCATTAATGATGCCAACTTGTTCAAAATACATTATTTACATGTTACTGTGCTTGAATGTCAAGCAGATTTGCAAAAGTTCTGGGTGGATCTGTCTCAAAGCTTGAATGAGCAGTTAATTACTTTATCTGAAATTCTGCTCAGATTTTCTTACCATTTTTTCTTCCAAGTTTTCTTTAATTTGCCCTCACAGGCATTTATTGAAAGAGATTCAAGCATCATTGTAGCCCAAATTTGCAGGTCGCCCAATTTTGATTGGGTTTTCGCAAATCGCTGCATGTATGATTGGATTTGTTCCATCATAATTGTATTTTTTATGAATTAAGTCACTCTTTAGTTAGTAAAAGGATAAAATTTATATTTTTCAGTAAGAAATCAATGACAATTGAATCCTGAAAGCAGGAGTACAGTCGGCGGAACCGGATCTGAAGGCCTCTCAGGTAACTGTGAAAGGCATAATGGACCCATCAAAACTCGTAGAATACGTCTACAAGCGAACTGGCAAACACTCCGTCATCGTCAACTCCGACACGGCCGAAAAAAAACCGGAAGAAGCCGCCGCATTGCCGGCTGACGGCAAAAACAAGTCCAGCGGCGGCGATGAAAAGAAAGCCGGTGACGTCGCCAGCGATGAGAAAAAGGCCGACGGTGAGAAAAAGGCCGAGGCTGGCGTAGTAGGGGAAGCTGGGGAAGATAAGGAAAAGAAGGAAGGTGTCTCGCTGGAGGATGCGGCGACCGTCGGAAAGGTCCTGGAGCTGAAGAAAAATGAGTTTTATTATTACTATCCGAGATACCCGACGGAGTATCAATCGTACGCTCCGCAGCTCTTCAGTGACGAGAACCCGAACGCCTGCTCTGTTATGTAAAAAAATTAAAGCAAGTATAATTTTAATAAGTAAGCTCTTTTTGGTTGTCGAATGCAAATCAAACTTATTTTCTTTTGCTGCAGATCTCTAATTTTCCTTTGTAATTACAGCCTGAATCTAATTATCTTTTCATATAAATTTATACTAGAATTAGTATTATATAACTTCCTGCATTTTTTTATTATGAAGATGACTAAATAAGTAGCTTTACGAGATGAGTTTGATGAGCTAACGAGTCAAATTTGAGTCAATTTCAACTCAATTTGTTAGTTTGTGAGTTGGTTCACTCGTCAGTTCATGCAGGGGCGGATTCAACTTTAATTTTTAGGGGGGCAAATTTACAAGTGAAAGTGTAATTTTTTTTTTCATAAATATTCATACAATAAAAATTATTCTGACTTCTATTTGTTCATCATTATATACTTTACAGATAAGTCGGGGGCTCAAGTGGGTAGCTTCTCATGGCGGGGTTGTAATAAATATTAAAAAATAAATGGAGGGAGGTAAATTACCTAAAGAATTATATAATAAAGAATTTTATTTAAGGGGGCCAATTGCCCCCCGGCCTTAAGGTGGATCCGCCGTGAGTTCATGAGCCCATTTGTATTAGTGGATTGAGCTCGAGTTTGAACTAAATTAATTAATTATGTTCAAGTTAAAGATGATTTCGGCTCGGTTTTTTGTTTTTTGGAGAAACTATTATGTGAACATCAGATGATCTGGAAGTTAATCATAATGATGTGATACACAGCAAAAAAATGATGTGTCACATCTTGATTCTTCTCCAAATGATGTACTCATTTATGACCCTAATGATATATTTTTTTATTATTTATATAATTATTAATAGCACTAATATTTTTTTCTTAGCCCATGAAAATAATTTAGTAAAATATTGGTGTAGCATTGTTGGAATTAGTTTTAATTCTTGAGCAATTTTATTAATGGCAAAAGTTTGTCCGGTGGAGGTGCGGAGTGCGGACGGGGAGAACCATCCGCACAAGTATTTGGTATCTAGCGGTACCCATACTCAATACTGTTGGATACTGTTGGGTACCGTTAGATACCCAGTACTTATGAGAACGATACGTACTCCGCACCTAATAATTTTTCATAGTGGAGCGGGAGGTTGGTGCGGTGTGTTTTGTCAATCTTAAAAGTACCTTTTATTTTAATTGTAAAGGAGGCGGTGTGGTTTGGTAATGGGTAGCTCATAGGAGTTGAATCCGAGTCAGCTTTAAGAACAGAGACACTGTGCCTTTGGGAACTACGCCAGTGAGCCGGTCTACAAGAACAATTTATTATTTTTTTTAATTATTATTTTCACCTTAGGAATCGCATTTATTAGCGGGAGATATTCCATGAATTGATGGGTAGTCAATTATTCGATCACATAAAGTATTTATTTGATTTTAATATATAAATAATATAATAATAATTATTATTATTTTAAGGCCTTCTGAAATTTAATACATAAATTTGTAAGCATATTTGATTTGATATTTTATTTATATGTATTAATTATTTTCATTCTTTTTATATGTAAGATTTAATTCATTCATGTGTTGATTTTCTTTTAGAATTTTCTAACAATTTGCTAGAGGCTTCTCTTTTATGGACGAAGTATCGGGTCAGGTCACTGAACATCTTTGGAGTCCAATAAAAATGCGTCACATCACCTCC